AAAGGAGGAGGAGGACAAGAATAGGAGGAGGACGACGAGGAGAAGGAGGGAGGAGGGAGGAAGGATGAGGAAGAGGAGGAGGAAAAGGAGGAGGAGGAGGTGCAAGAGGGAGGAGAATGACGCGGATGATGATGATGATGATGATGAGATGGATGTTGATAATGATGATGTTGATGATGTTGATGATAGATGATGGTGATGATGATGATGATGATGATGAGGAGGAGGAGGAGGAGGGAGGAGGAGGAGGAGGAGGAGGAGGAGAGGAGGAGGGAGAGAGGAAGGAAGGTGGAGGAAGGACGCGCAAAATCAACAAAGGTTCGACTAAGAGCAAGCAAACCCTGGCCCGTTAAGGCGGATCGGGGGGAGAAGCCTCGGGAAAAGCTGGACACGGCACCCAAAACTGAGACGAGGAGGGAAGAGGGAGGGAGAAGGGAGGAGGGAGGAGGGAGGAGGGAGGGGGAAGGCAAGGTGGGAGGGAGGGGCCATCACTTGGCAGATGAGGGAGGCTAAGGGTTGGCCGACCCGACCCTAACCCGAAACCTCGTGGCGCTGAGCCGCCAATCTTCTCCACTGCGGCCGAGGCTGCGCCAGAGAACCGCAGAGACGGCAGAACGCTGCCCATGCTGAAAAGGGCGATGAAGGGCCCCGTCACGGGAGAATGCACCTTCCCCTGAAACGGGGTGCCTGACACACGTGCAGACACAGCGCGCACACGCACACGCACGTGCACTGGACAGTCAGAATGCCCAGATTTTCAAAACTGTGGATGATGGCATTGGGCTCGTCCTTCTGCGTACCCTTCCCCTCAGGCTGCATTGTCGCACGCGCTGCTCAGCAGATCTCGGGAGGGAGGGAGGGAGGAAGGGAGGAGGGAAGGAGGAGGCGACAGGGAGAGGAAGGAGGAGGGAGGAGGGAGGGAGGGAGGAGGGAGAAGGGAGGAGGGAGGAGGGAGGGAGGGAGGGAGGGAGGGAGGCCTCCCCCCCCCCCCAAGCCCCCGCCGCGCGCGAGCGTGCCGAGACGCTCTCCATCTGCCTGCTCAGGGCCAGCTGGGCCTCCTCGCCCAGGCGGTCGGACCTGGCCCGTGCTCCGGGGGAGATCCGAGGCAACGTACAGTCAAAAACCCTAATAAGGACGCGCGGCAAGGACGTAAGACCCTTGGAAGCCGAAGTGGGAATTTTTGGGGCGGCGGACGACGAAAACCTCAAGGACGCAAGAGCAAGGAAGAGCAAGGACGCAAGGATACCCTGAGCAACGTACAGGGCAGTTTTTAATACATAGGATTTTAAACATATAGGAAGTTTACTACATGATTAGTTTAGGAATAGATTTATGCATGAACTCATCGCTGTTTTTAGTACTAAGTCCCTGCATTTTTAATACATGATCCGCACGCGGAGCATGTATTAAAAACGGCACTGTAAGACGAAGCCAGAATCGAGACAAAATCGGCCTGATGTACATCGGGAATCTCTGAGAATCGCCGGGCTTGGAGGACGCGTCGGGCACCGCGGTCGCAGGATTCAGAATCGAGACAACATCGGACTGATATACAAAGCGAATATCTGAGAATCGGCGGGTTCGGAGGACGCTTCGGGCGCCGCGGTCGCAGGATTCAGAATCGAGACAACATCGGACTGATATACAAAGTGAATATCTGAGAATCGGCGGGTTCGGAGGACGCTTCGGGCGCCGCGGTCGCAGGATTCAGAATCGAGACAATATCGGACTGATATACAAAGTGAATATCTGAGAATCGGCGGGTTCGGAGGACGCTTCGGGCGCCGCGGTCGCAGGATTCAGAATCGAGACAATATCGGACTGATATACAAAGTGAATATATGAGGGTATCGACGGGTTCGGAGGACGCTGCGGGCGCCGCGGTCGCGATTCAGAAAAAAAGCAAACATCGGACTTGTTCTACAAAGTGAATATCTGAGAAATCGGCGGGTTGGAGGACGCTTCGGGCGCCGCGGTCCGCAGATCCGCGAGCAGAATGAGACAACATCGGAGTTGATATACAAGTGAATATCTGAGAATCGGCGGGTTCGGAGTCGCTTCGGCGCCGCGGTCGCAGGATCAAGAATCGAGACAATAGCGGACTGATATACAAAGTGATATATGAGAATCGGGGGTTCGGAGGACGCTTCGGGCGTCGCGGTCGCAGGATTCAGAATCGAGTACAACATCGGACCTGATCTACAAAGTGAATATCTGAGAATCGGCGGGTTCGGAGGACGCTTCGGGCGCCGCGGTCGCAGGATTCAGAATCGAGACAACATCGGACTGATCTACAAAGTGAATATCTGAGAATCGGCGGGTTCGGAGGACGCTTCGGGCGCCGCGGTCGCAGGATTCAGAATCGAGACAACATCGGACTGATATACAAAGAGAATATCTGAGAATCGGCGGGTTCGGAGGACGCTTCGGGCGCCGCGGTCGCAGGATTCAGAATCGAGACAACATCGGACTGATATACAAAGCGAATATCTGAGAATCGGCGGGTTCGGAGGACGCTTCGGGCGCCGCGGTCGTTTCAGAAGGCTCCGGAACGCTCTGAGAGCGTTCCCGATGGCCCTGGACCGATTCATCTCGATTCGAGGCCTGCGTATGAGTCTGAGTGGTCAACGATGTGACTGCATCTGAGTGAGGAACAGCGAGTCTGAGCATGAGCGAGTCTGAGTATGAGTGATTCCAAATACGAGTGAGTCTGAGTGTTCTTTCGGGAGGGAGAAGATGGGAGTGGACAACATGCTACCACGGCTGGCACCGAAAGGCCAGCGAGGAACAGCACGAGCGAATCAACGATTGCGTTTGAAAGGAGTTTTCGTCCTCAACGAACGTGTGGGAGCCAGCGCTTAGGAGAAAGCGAGACAGCGACTGTCAAGCACGAGCCGACTGACGGCTCAAGAAGTCCAAAAGAGAAAACAGATGGCGAAGGACACAAATCAGCCCTAACACAAATTATCCCCTGGCCTGCCAACTGTTGTGCGAGAGACTCGCATTGAACGGCCTCGACGGCCAAACAATACACTCACTACGGCAGGAGAGGAGGAGGAGAAGGACGAGGAGGAAGAAGAGGAGCAAGAAGAGGAGGAGGAGGAGGAAGAGCAGGAGGAGGATGAGGAGGAGGAGGCTCAGGAGGGACGAGGAGGAGGAGGAGGGACGAAGCAAACAACACAGCTCGCGAATGCGTAGACCAGCCAGGGCATAGCACGCACACAAGTTTCCCCCGCGAACGCAGGTCCACTAACGAATCCGGCCGAAGTTGGGCCGCAGCTAGGTGGCCGGAGGCTGGTGCGAAGGGGAGGGAAGACAGAGGCGAGAGAAGGGACAGAAATACCAAAAGCCAGCTGCACGGAACATTGGTTCGCCAATCGACGGCAAACGAGGTTTCATAGAGCTAACACTTTGGTCGTGCAGACATGCAGCGTGTGAGCGAAGCTGAGTGTGGTGTGTGTGTGTGTGTGTGTGTGTGTGTGTGTGTGTGTGCGTGTGAGAGTTGGGCGTGAGCGATCTGAGCATGCGAGGCTCAGATGAGCTTGCGACGTCGTGATTTTTCCACATCGTCGACCCCAAGAGGTCTGGACCCCTTCCCCCGGACCGGTTCCTCATCCCGAGTCTTTTTCGACGGCCCCGAGGGCCGGCAAGTGCCCCCCCCCCCGAGGCCGAAAACAGCGAAAACCCCCTCCGTCGTGATTTTGTTCACAGCGTGAGGGGGTCTGGGAGGGAGGCCCCCACGGCCGCTGGAACACCCCTCGCGAGGGCCACAGGGCCCCCCCGGGGGGCTCCAGCACTGAAGCCTGGGGGCACCCTGCGCCAGGGGCAACGCTCGCGGCAGCTTTGGCCAACCCCCGAGAGGGGGATGCGGCCGCCCACAGGGGGGGGGTGGGGGGAATCCAGACGGCTCCGCGAACTGCCGGGGCGGGGCGCGCTGGCGATCTGGACCTCGGCGGGGGGGAGAGGGCGACCCTCCCAGGCCCCCGACGCCATGATCTTTTCATGACGCGGCCCCCATAGAGGTCCAGACCCACTCCCCGGGGCCCGCCTTGCATCCCGAGTCGTTTTGTTGACGCTCCCGAGGCCCAGTGAGGGCCCCCGGAGGCCGAAAATGAGGAAACACATCCCGTCATGATTTTTTCATTACTCGAGGGGGTTTGGGCTCTGGGCTGCCCAGCTCCGCACGCCGTGCCCCGCGGTGCGCGGCTGCCTCCGCGACCCCGCGCCGATCCGCTCTTGCAGATGGGGCGCCCCTCCGACCCGGGCCGCGGCGCGCGAGGCGCGGTCGCCCTCGCGCCCCCGGGGGCCGCCTGGAACTCAGGCGACCGACGGCAGGGCGACTGACGAGGGGAGGAGGAGGAGGAGGAGGAGGAGGAGGAGGAGGAGGAGGAGGAGGAGGAGGAGGAGGAGGAGGAGGCGGAGGAGGAGGAGGAGGAGGAGGAGGAGGGCAAACATCGGGGGGAAGTGGCATACGGGGGGGAAGCATCGCCCTGAAATCGGCGAGATGCATCGCCGATAGATCGGCGGTGGACAAACCTCCCTTTAGCAAACCTCCCCTTAGTGAAAACAACCCGGGACCGAAACCGACGGACCTGGACCCGCAAAAATGACGGCCGCGACGCCCTCCCGCGAACCGAAAACGGCCAAGTCCTTATCGACGTGTCAGGGTAGGAAATCTGTCCACCCCCGAAACGATCGGGGGGAAGTGGCATCCGGGGGGAAACATCGGCCCGAAAGCGGCGATGCGTCGCCGATATCGGTAGATCGGCGAGAGGCACCCTCTCCACGTGCCTGGGCGGGGTGCGGCTGCCGGGCACCTCTCGGCGGTCAATGGGCGATGAGGGTCGATGCAAGGGCTCCCAGCTTCGCGCTTCGCGCTGCGCGAAGCGCGAAGTGCGAATAACTTCGCGCTCTCGCGCCGCCACTCAGGGGAGAAGAGGAGGATGAGGAATCGGAGCCGAACCGCGAAGCGCGAAGCGCGAATAACTTCGCGCCCTCGAGGGCGCCCTTGTCGATGCATCCCCCCTACGCCTGTCCCCTGCTGGTATTCGGGACCATAACTCGGGCCTGCAGCGGCCGTTGGGAACGATTCCGGCACCCCTGGAACGCCCTCGGCGACGCGCAGCTGCTGGAACGCATCCCGAGGCTGGAAAGCCGCCGCGAAACCAACGAAAACGACCGAAAAACTAGAACCTCGAAACGAAAACGACCGAGAGCCTGTGCCTAACTATCCCCCCCCCTTATGGTTGCCCCTGAACTGAGCATTCACACTGCACCCTGGGGTCACCCAGGCGCGCGGGGCGGAGCAGAGGGCGGAGCCGCAGGCGGGTGGCTAGGAGCGGTCAGGGGCGGAACTGCTGGGCGGCCCACGGCAAGTTGCTCTTTCCTCCCCCCCTAAGACGAAGCCAGGACGAGGATAAAGTCGGGTGAAGATAAATCGAAAACCTCAAATCTTGCGGTTCTGGAGGATGCCTCGGGCGCCGCGGCCATCCCAGACCGTTCCGGAACGCTCTGAGAGCGCTCTGGAACGCTCTGGAACTGATTTATCCTCGCCCTGGCCCTGGCCGACCCCCCGCCTCTCGGACTCGACGGGGCCCCACCTGGCAAATCTCGGCCCGATGCTTTGGGCCTCGGAGGGCCTGCAGACCCTCGTGCTCACAGACAGCGCATCTGCGAGCGCCATAGATTCGTCGATTCGTCTGAATGGATTCCCGCGCGTAGAGGCCTCCGGCCTGTACCGCCGACCCGAGACGCTCCGGGACGCTCCGTGCGAACTCGTCGTCCTGTCCTCGCCCCGTCCCACTCAGCTACACTCGGACCTAAACCAGAAGAACATCCTCCATGAGCATGAGACCCTCCGCCGGCCAAAACAAACAGAACATCCAAGGGTACCCTCCCCAGGATGCACAAGAGCGTCCAACAAACACGAAGAACACTAGCGTACCCTCCCCGCACAGACCTCGATCTTATACCTCGGTCCGACTGTACCCCTCCCCCCCTCCTCTCGGTCGCGACGGGGTACGACCAGGTGCCCTGCACGCGCGAAAGGCAGCATGCCCATATGGGAATGGGGATCC